AATGTAAAATATACAATTTTGTTGTTTACATACCAAATTATTTGAACGAAGTGTATGAAATATATTTACGATTGCAAACAGGAATGTATCGAATCAATTTGCATTAATAGCTTGTAAATATAAATAACGTTTGTTAAAATTGTATGGTATCTTTACTTGGTTTGATGAATCTATATAAATAGAGATAAATAATATTCATATACAATGCATTCTTTGTTCACCTTGTTTACTATCGACAAATATCTTAATACACACGGTACACTTTATTTATTGAGACAAATGAAACATTTACTACATTATATATTTTCACGCTATACTGTAAAACACGCTGAATAAATTTTTGAGTACTGATATACTTGCATACACTTATACTAACATCGAGGTATTTTTTTTTCGAAATTTGTACAAAGACTAAACTGATCATTCTCTGTAATATAAGGGGTAATTTTGAAAATATGTACCTCTAATTGAGAACTTAGTATTAAATCAACATCTGGTTTACTTATTGCTACATATTTGTATTGAACACACGGATAGTCTCTTGCAGTGTGTATTACTTTTTACTGCTACTATAATAGAGATCGAGTAAGTCGGTGTCTCAAATAAAACACGAATGCCGAACTAAAATAAACTAAAAGATTAATGAAATATATAATATACAGTAATTAACACTCTAAGTTTATTAATAGTGCTGCTTATATTAGCTTCAAACTCTGATCGTATAAATTTGGAATTATGAATTATGAGTAAATATAATTAAAAATCTCGATTTATTCCATAAGCGGCCGCTATTCTCACTCGCAACCTATGGACCAAAAGAATTGTTTGGCTATAGTACTTGGGAAGCCTACCAAGTGGTAACTAGACCTGAAAGTACATTCCGATGCTATTAAATTGATTAAAATATCAAAAATCGTAATTTACAATACGTTCGAAAATTACATTTCATTCGAAACCAAGAACCGTCCCAATATCTCTAATCAGAACCGTATATTCGAGAAACATTTCGTGTACGAATATCAACTGTAAACTTTTCCCAGGATTCATGAAACACTCAACACTTAGCTAGACTTACTTCGCGATCTTCGTCCAACACGTCCGTACTTGCATGCGGTAGAGAACGCTCTGCCAGCATCAATTCAGAGTATGGCACCTTACAATCACCAATGATTTTGATCTACGTTATCATTAGTATGACCTCGATACAATTCACTATCAAAGATTTTCTTCAGCAAACCGGTTGGACCGCCGTGTGGGACGGTCTCGAGCGAACTGCTCGATTCCCTCATCTTCCTCAATGCTGAAAGATCCTTCTACCCCTGGCAGAAACGCGCCAAAAAGATTCCGAAAAAACTGCCGCCGCGTGTAGTGAAAACGTGAACGATCATGTGATCACCGATTCAAGTCCGAATCGTACCGTTTAGATCCACTTAGCCGCGTAATCTGTGGATCGGTCATTATCCAATTCCATCGGTTGACGTCGCAAAAGTGGCCTAATAGTAATGGTATTCGCCGGTGAGCACTGCGGGGCTGACGTCAATGGCCAATACTGAAAGCGTCAATGGAAATTGTGATACGGTGTACCTGTTCGTGTATAATACCGTTTCTGCGCGGCACTTGACCACGTGCAAGGTTTCAATCAGAAATAACAGGATGTTTTTGTGGGTGAGACTCTTGTGTCGTTTAGGAGGCAACTGGATCACTCGTGCTATTCGACGTACCATGGAATTCAGTTTACCGGACTTGGCACAAGATATGGGATTAAGAATGTTACAGGTAGGTACGAATCTAGCTGGATAATCTCGAAAGTTTCATTAGTACTTTGAGAGAGGAGAAGTAAAATAGAACAGTAGAGCCGGTTTCTATATGGGGTGACTAATTGCTGTAACTTTGTTTTGTTTACGGGCACAATTAAATTTATAATTATATATTAACATACTACATGTTTTTATTCAAAAATAAAAAAAACTAAAAGAATTATTTTCAAATGGACTCCTGTATTATTATTATAATTATTTATTTGTAATTATATATATATATATTTATAATTATTATTTACAATTATTTATAATTATTTTCAAATGGATAGGCTCGAACACTTTTGTAACTATTCTGACCGAGGAGATTCAAATCCTTTATGAATACATATGTACAGGATTCTTTCGATATTGTGTAGAGTAGCGAATTAAAGATTTACACGGGAAAAAGCAAAGAAATTAGCAAAATGTAAGGTACATTGTGGACTTGTCCAACGTTTATGACCAGTAGCTAATCTGCTATAAAAGTCACATTTTTCGATTTTCTGTTACCGGTGCTAGTTTCTTACGTAGTCTTCGTACTCATGATTGAAAATGTTGCAACGGTTTTCTAGCTGTCCCAGCATTGATTTCATCTGTAATATCAATTGCATAACATAAACGAGCTGCATTTTTTCGACTGTTTTTCATAGTCTGCCACTTTTTAGTAGGCCAGTTTTTAAAATTTCATACCACAGATACTTCCAAGCAGTTTCTGATCTGTAAAAAATAGTTCCTAGTTCATAAAATGTCTTCTTTTGGTTACGTAGTCCCACAACTTGTTCCCTTCCTCAGAAGTAGTAAGTTCGTGAATTACCCACACTTTTATGCTCAGTAAATCAACTTAAACCAACCAGAGTCACACTACACTCGGATTTTAATATTTGCATACGAGAATAACAAACGAATTCATGAAGTGTCACTCGCTAGACATTGGAAATAGTTGGACATGGTTGTAAACTAATGTCTGGTGTTCATAGAAGTCAGAGGACTATAAACGTAAAAACGACAATGTCTCGTTTAAATCTGTGATTGCTAGAAAGAACATCTGTCACGAACATGTCACATGTTTTCACTTCCAAGATCACTAATGCTTCGTATTAATAGTGTTTCGAGTTGTATCATTCCGATATGCCTATCGAATTTGTTCTTCTCTGATAAATATAGAAATCCTATATGCCACAATTCAATTAACGCATTGAAATTGTGACTTGCGACGTTTTTCCGTACGCGATTGTGAAAGAAAAAAGTGGTAAAAACAATATGAGCAAGAACAGCAAATAAGAATGTAACGCTAAAAAAGTTAAGGGGTGCTTCGCCTTATTTTCCTCGATTCATTACGTTTCATCGAGCGAAATGAATCGTTAACGATGTACGTAATAGCTAACGATGTATACATAAAGAAACAAGTATCTTATTTTAAACAAAATTTACTTATATTTATATTTAGTTTCCGATTGCTATGATTGATTAATAACTTGAGATTGTCGTACCGCAAAGTGCGTACCTAACAGTGCGTAATTTACAGTGTGCATTTAATGGGTGTGTAAATTTCCTATAATAAAATTTCTGTTGTGAATATAGCAATTTTTGTGTTACGTTAAATTAATTGCTGAAAAAAACATGCATAGGAAAAGTACTGGATAGTATAATAAATATTTTTATACATTGAACCATACCATATTGTTATGTAGGCATTTGACATCGAAATTTCTGTTGCAACTATAATAATTTTTGCGTAACCATAGTCCATAATCAATTAGTTAATCTTAATTTATATCTTTTGTATATAAAATTGAAGAATATTTAAGAATGATCCATACATATATTCGAAACTTGAACTCTGTCTTCGATTACTCTCGTTATTCATCGTTACCATTTCCAACATGCATTGCTCTATAATTATCGAACGATTCGTGGTACTTAATTGGAAAATTAAATATTGATAAATTCATTACCAAAATAAAGATACTAGAATAATCGAATACTTACTTTAGAGGAAAATTGAGTAATATTAAATTCATTGCTAAAATAAAAGTACTTAAATGAATAAATTCTTATCTACTAGTAAAATTTAATAATGTCTAATTCATTACAAAACTAAAAGTACTTGAATCAATGACTGCTGGTCTAATTGGAAAGTGAATGGCGTCAATCTCATTACAAAACTGAATAGACTTGCATATTGTAGATATTCTTATAAATTAAACCATAGACAAGAGGGGAGGGAAGAAGATTATGTGATTGCAAAGAGTAGTGATACGTCGAGGCAACGATTGAAAAAAGTGGGGAGCCACAAACGGCATTCCGCCTGTTGAGCCAGTGTTCACGTATTGCATCACAGGTGGAACGACTAATTGTGTTGTACCTGCATCGACGAAGTACATCATCGCGGTCACAAATCTAACTTGAAATTTCGGAAGGATCCCGCTGTAGATTTCGGTCATTTTCGCCAGTTCACGTGATTCTTCGTTTTCACGTGTCATACGCCATACGCGAGCCTTGTTTCTTCCGTCCACTCAAACCGGAAGCTGATCACATGAGCCGAGGATCTATTTCTAGTTGGCAGGATTATGGACGCAGAAGTTGTGAGTACTAACTCTTTCATTCTTCAATCTTCTTTATTTGGTAACATTTTCAGTTCATAATTAGACTTCTCTTGAATTGAGTCGTTTCAAGCAAATGTGGTGCATGCCAATTTTTTTGTTATTATTCGTTAAATCGCATTTAAATCGTTAAATCATTAAATCGTATTTAATTTAACATTTTATCCAATTTTTTGTCTCTTATTTAAAGTTAAAGCTTCAATGTGGCTTACATAAAAGAGTTGTAATAATTTCTTACTTTAATCTTCAATATCTACAACTTAACTTTCTTTGCAGAATTAACATTTAATTAGATATTGCTTTATTATGTGAGAAAATTCGCGAATACTCATATCATTTCTTCGATTACTGTTTCATTCACACACACGTTATTTTATTAAACAATGAATATGTACAATGAGAGTGATTCAAGATAGAAATGTTACGTTAGTGTTTCTTCATATAGACAAAATATGACTTCATCAAAC